CTCGTCCTCCCATGATGCGGTGGGGCTGGGCCCGGGGGATCTGGGCGGACCCCCCCTCCCTCCAAATCGACCGGACCAGGGTGTGGGTGGAGGGATCGGGGTAGGGGTAAGAATCTCACACGCTGAGGATACCCCAAGCGGTCGGGGAATGTCGTCGCCACGTGCACATTGCAGTGCTTCTTCCAGAGAAGGATGGTGGGCCTGCACACACGAGGTAATGTGATGCCCCCTTCCCTCGTGGAACAGACCAATACGTACACAGTGAGTGTGGGACGCTCGAAGATGATCCAGGTTATGTTGCAAAGTGCACTGTGTCTTGTCATTATTGAGATGACCTGGATGATTGGAGGGATTGTGTTTGCTTCGGGTCGGCCGTCGGTCGAGGGGGTGGGCGTCAATTAATGCGGAGCAGGGGCAGATTATTCTCCGAAGGGAAGACGGGGTTTGCACGAGAGGCTCCCTTAACCCACCGACGCCCAGAGGGCTGGCGGGATGTTGTCTGCGGGCGTAGTTTTTGGATTCGTGTAGGCCGCGAGAGGGCCTTCGTCGCAGGAGCCACACCCGTCTCGCAAGCTTGGTCGGGATGGTGCTCAGGAGAAGCTTGTCGGGGAGGTAGTTGAAGTGGACATGGGGTTGGAAGGATCTGATGGGACGAGGGTGGACTGCCCGTGGGCTAGTCTTCAGGCCGTGTCGGCGATATATATATATATATGTATATATATATATATATGTATATATACATATATATAGATATATGTAGATGTATATATATATATGTATATCTGTATATATATATGCACATGTATATTATATTTCGAACGGTGCCCTTCTTTGAAGTGCGCGTAGGAAAGCACGAAATCATACCTCCGACGCACTTTGATTGAGTGCACGACTTTGTCCTGCTCACCCAGAGTACAGCCGCGCCACGTGCTTGGAGCACGTCGCTGCGACGGATGACGCGGTACGGCGTGCGGCAGGATCTTCTTGGTGGACTCCAGATAAGATGCACGTCGTAGAAAGAGAGAGAGAGAGAGAGAGAGAGAGACAGAAGGAGATAGAGAGAGAGAGGCAGAGAGCATCAGGAGAGCGCCACGCGAGCGTAAGTCCAATCGGATCTGAATGAACTTCGCGCGCTTTATCAGCAGGCGACATTGGGGCACCTTCCTACGCAAATTGTTTAGCGCCGTGCCCCGGCCTCCCTCGCCGAAGGGGGGCTCCTCCTCCCCATCCCCCTTACAGAGTGACCACGGTAAGGTCGTCCTACATGTGAGCAGCTATGCCGCTCGAGTCGCTGCGACGCGGCCGCGGACTCGACCCGACTGCTCGATGGCTCCTCCTCCTCTTCCTCCTCCTCCTCCTCCCCAGAACCCCTTGGAGTTCCTTAGATACTGCATGGCTTCCTTAAAGCACTGTTGGACTCCTTGGCGCACACTCGAGTGACGCAGAAAAGCGGAGCCGTCTGCGCGGACATTGGCGCGTAAACTGCCTGCGTAGGGTCGCGCGTAGGCGCCCTCTTCTGCATGCGGTGTGCCACGCTGGCGGCCCGCGTAGGCCGCGGCGTATGGCCGCTATGCCTTCTCGCGTCCGTCGTCGCTCTTTGAACCTCCTCCCTCCTCCTTGTCCTTCCCCTCCCTGGTCCACCCAGTGCTGCTCTGTTCTTGGCACCCTCGCTCTCTGGGCCCAGGGCCGCCCGGGCCCCGATGCTCGGGACGGGGCCTGCGGCGCCCGAGAAGCCCCCCCCCCCCCGGCCCGCCATGGGCGTCCTGGCCGCGGCTGGGGCGCCGGCGGCCCAGCAGAGGATCGCGCAGGCGCCGGACTGGCAGTGCATGCCCGGGGGCGACGTTCCACAGCGAGGCGCCCGAGAGGAGGAGCACGGGCCACCGCCTCCAGAGGACCCACGCGGTGCGGTGACCACACCGCGTGGCGAGTCCAGGGGGACTTGGGGTCGCCACAGGGTTCGGGGACTCGGGGGCCGTGCTCCTAGGGCGCCTCTCGGGCCGACGGGGGCTGCCGAGGTCCCGAGGCCGTGAGGGGATGGGCCGCGCGGTGGGGTCGTTGGGGGGGGGGGGGGGGTCCGGGGTCATCACGCGGTCCGTCGCAGCACGGCTTTGGGCCCCCCGAAGTTCCGCAGTGGGGCCCTCGGAGCAGAAGCGTGGACCACCACCCGCGCCGAGAGCCCCTCCGCGGGGAGCCCACCCCTGGGCGGCGGCACGCCCGAGAGCCGCCGTTCCCGAGGGCCGCTGGCCCGAGGAGGGCCCCCGGGGAGCCGGACTCGAGGAAACGCCGCCGGCTGAGAGGATCACATCCCCAGACATGCGATGTCTTGTTTTTCTCCGTACCGGGTCCTCGTTCAGAAGGCCCGACCTTTTCCCCGGGATCGGCTTCGCATCCTGAGCAGTTCATCAGGGGGGAAAGAAACACGCAGACACAATTCATCGTCGTTTCCCCCGAGGATATAGGAAAACATGGGAAGTGGGGGGAAGACGACCTCGTTCAGAACCGGGTCCTCGTTCAGAAGGCCCGACCTGTTCCCCGGGATCGGCTTCGCATCCTGAGCAGTTCATCAGGGGGGAAACAAACACACAGACACAATTTATCGTCGATTCCCCCGAGAAGATAGGCAAGTGTGGGAAGTGGGGGGGAAGACGAGCATCCCAAAAATATGGGAACATATGGGGAATCGTTCTATTTGTGTGTACTTATTTGCGTGTCCTTGGGCCCCTTCAGTTCAGAAGGCCCGACCTGTTCCCCGGGATTGGCTTTGCAAGGGCTCCCTCGAGGGCGCGAAGTTATTCGCGCTTCGCGCTTCGCGGTCCTCGTTCCTTCTCCCCCTCCTCCTCGTCCTCCTATTCTCCCTTTGGGAGGGCGGCGCGAGAGCGCGAAGTGATTCGCGCTCTCGCGCTTCGCGCAGCGCGAGAGCGCGAAGTTGGGAGCCCTAGGCTTGGCATCCCGAGCAGTTCTGGCGGTCCAGCGCCGCGGCCCTCCGCACAGCGTGCGCGCCTCGTCGGGGCGGGGCCTCCCCCGCCTCGTCGGTCCCGTGCTCGCGCGACGAGGCGGGTGCGGCGGGACTGGCGAGGCCTCGTCTTTCTCGCCGTCGTCGTCGCCGTCGCAGCCGTCGCCGTCGCCGTCGCCGTCGCCGTCGCCGTCGCCGTCGCCGTCGCCGTCGTCGTCGTCGTCGTCGTCGTCGTCGTCGTCGTCGTCGTCGTCGTTCTCTTTCCCCTCGGTCCTCGTTCTCGTCCCTGTCCTCCTCGGCTTCGTCCGAACCTCGACTTCGGCCTCCTCGTTCTCATCCTTCTCGCCGTTTTCATCTTCCTCATCGTTTTCGTCCTCCTAGCCGTCGACGCTGTCGTCATCCCTGTCGTCGTCACCAGCGTCATGCTCATGCTCTCAATTCGCCTCAATTGTCCACGCGTCCTCGTCGTCATTATCTTCTCATTTCTTACTTTTCCTATTCCTTTTCCTTCTCCTTCTCTTGCTGCCATTTTTGCCTCATCCTTCATCCCGTTTTGCTAATTCTCCTCATTCTCACCCTCATACGTCTCATAGCTAGTAATTGCAGCACGAGCGAATGCCAGCACGAATGAAATGACCACTGCCATTGTCGCTTGTGGTGTTGTACGTACGTGCGTGCGTGCATGAGCACACCTGCTGGATGTTCCAGGTTAAGGCTTCGCCCTCTGCGACAGTGCCGGCACCCCTGAGCCTCTGATCGGAAAACAAGATTCAGGGTGGCGCTTCCTTGTTTCTGTCGTGTGCTGCCAGAGCATCGCGGCGATGGGTGAGATGTGAGCCAGGCCGGGTGGCGGCGTGCACCCGGGGCAGCGGCCTCGATCAGAGTTGAGAAACCACCCGACGACCGTCCTCTGCTGCCTCCTCCCCGGCAGCATCCGAGGCCGTTTTGGCTCAGTCGCTTCGGCACGAGGGCCAGCCGGTCTTCCCTCCTCGCCGGCATGGCGCACCCTTCGGAGCCGAGCTCCGGGATGAGGAAGCAGGGCAGTTCGAACCAGCTGTTCGTGCTCTTCCAGGACGCGGTGGCCTGCCCGGAGGAGCTGCGCGCCTGGAATGGGGGCGGAGACAGCGCGGGCAGGATGCCCGGCAGCAGTGTCTGCTCACTCGATTCGGGGTTCGCTGTCGCTCGAGGCCATCGGACGACACTTCTTGTCATCTTGACGGCAGCTCCTTCCCACTTGGCGGCGTTGGTCATCCAATGGGGGCAAGAAGGGCCGCCGTCAGCATCATGGCAGGGACCTCTGCCAGAAGGCCCTGGAGGACAGCAACTCTTGCTCCGCGCGAACAGTCACTTCTACGGTGGGGCCGTTCGTTAAGGAATGTGCCCGGCATGCTTCAGACCCTGGAGGGTTCCTTGACCGATGAGGGCGGCGGTGATATCCATGACCAAGCCACACTTGGTGTTCCACCGGCTTCCAGACCCTGGATCTACGGGTTCTTTATCTAGGGCCCTCACCGTGCAGGTTGAGTAGGGCCGAGGGTCAGAGAGCGCCATTCTCTGCAGGACCATTAAAAAAGGGACGCCAAGGTGTTCAAACGCCTCGCTGGTTGGGCTGACGAAGATGTGCAACATCCAGCCGTTCTCTCATGTCCAAAGCTTTGCCTTGACGCGGAGTGTGGTGCATCAATTTCTAGCTTGACCGACCAGGTTAGTTGCGCCCCTTGACGTCCGTTTGGGGTGTTCTGCAGACCTGACCCCCCAGCCCGATACCGCTAATCCCCAGACCTCTCCTGGGGTGCGTTTTGACCAGGATTTCGAGGCGAAGCCAGCGGTGGCGACGAGGGCCTCCCAGGAGGACCAGCAATGGGAAAACGAGGAAACGGAGGACCCCGCCGGCGTGCACTTCGCAGGTCCGAGTCCGAGTCCGAGTATTGGGCATCGTGCCCATGCTTTCCGCCACCATCCCCGGGCTTGCCGCGAGGAGGGTGCCGCCCTCACCCGCAGAGTCTCCGAGGGCGCCGACGGGCGGGCCTCGCCCGCGGGCCCGCAGGGCAAGCTGCTGGCGCCCTGCCAGGGCGGCAGGCTGCGGAAGGCCCTGGCGCTGCTCGGTGCCGCCGCCCTGCTGTCCACCGTCGGCTGCGCGGCCCCGGGGGAGCGAAGGGATACCGACGTTTAGGATGCCCCTTCCTCTTCCTCCTCCTCCTCCGCCTCCTCCTCCTCCTCCTCCTCCTCCCCCTCCTCCTCCTCCCTCCTGCTGCTCCTCCTCCTCCTCCTCCTCCTCCTCCTCCTCCTGCTCCTCCTCCTCCTCCTCCTCCCCCTCCTCCTCCTCCTCCCCCTCCTCCTCCTCCTCCTCTCCTCCTCCTCCTCCTCCTCCTCCTATTCCTTCTCCTCCTCCTCCTACTCCTCCTCCTCCTCCTCCTCCTCCTCCTCCTCCTCCTCCTCCTCCTCCTCCTCCTCCTCCCCCTCCTCCTCCTCCTCCCCCTCCTCCTCCTCCCCCTCCTCCTCCTCCTCCTCCTCCTCCTTCTCCTCTTCCTCCACCGTCGGCTACGCGGCCCTGGGGGTGCGAACAGATACCGACATTTAGAATGCAACTCCTGGGAGGCTGCATTCAGAATTCTAGGCCTCCCAGATGAGGTTGAAGTAGATGGGGTCGGAGTATCGCGCCGCATCGCCGATGCATCGCCGGTGCGGCTCGATGTGCAGCCCGATCTGCTTCACGTCGACGTCGCCGATGCACCGCCCACGTCGACGATGCATCGCTGGTGCATCGCCGATGCATCGCCGATGTATCGGCGATGCGGCGCGATCCTCCCACCCCATCCTACCCCGACCCCATCTAGGAGGCCTCTAATTCAACATCGGCGCTGGTATATCCATGGTCGGAAACTGGCCTTATCCGTCCTAGTTCTGTTCAATTCTGCTGAGTCCCGTTGGATCTGGTTTCGTCCAGTTCGGTCCGGCGTAATCCTGGGCCCGATCTGGGCTGATTTGGCTTCGTGGAGTCGGGCTCAAAAGGTATGACAAGTTCTTGCGGCGACCTCCCAGGAGCTGCTTCCTCACGATACCGCGGCTAATTGCCCTGATCTCTCGGGGAGTGTAGGAAGGACAGAAGAAAGGAGAGACAGGAAGGGCAGAGAACGAGAGAGGGGGCGAGCGACAGAAAGCATTGTGATTTTCCAACATACTGTAGCCTTGACTGCCAGAAAGGATTTCGAGCACCAAGAAAGTACCGAAACTTGAGGGTTTTCACTTGTTGTGCCCTGGGAGGCGAAGCTCGTTCGACACTGTTTCGATACTTTCCTGGGTGCTCGAATTTATATATGGGATGTGGCCCTTAAGCACGATGGGAGCAGCATAAAGAAAGCAGAGAAAGAAACGGGAAAGAGAAAGAAGAGGGACAGAGGAGAGAGGCGCGCGCGAGGACGACGAACGAACGACGACGACAGGGGAGTCCTGACCAGGACTCCGAGGCGAATCGAGCCGTGTCGACGAGGCCGCCCGGGCGGCCCGCCAGAGCGTGGGCTATTTCGGTGTCGGACGCCGCCTGCGTCCCGGCATTGCGCCGCGGCATCGAGCGTCGGGAGCCTTGAGACGGGGGTCACTGCACACGGGGGTCAGCTAGGGCGCCCGATCTTGCAGGATATTGCAGGGCCAGGGCCGTATTGTACCGATCTTGGGTGAGGGATCCTGCAGGGTCTTGCACGATCCTTCGCGCCGACCTGGGTTTGGGTGCAGGATCTTGCGGGATCTTGCAGGATATTCTGCAAGGCCTGCTTGACCCGGGTCTGGATCGACCCGGGTCAGAGAAGATCCCCGAGAGCGATTTGCGCTGTCGGAGAGCCGCACTTGTTCAAAGGTTCGGGCAAGTTCGTGCCTTGCCGATTTGGGCGTTGGTTTCTGACACCGCGGGGATCGCTCAACCTTGAACGATCGGCCGTTTCCGAAACGTCAGATCGCTTAACGTCGACCAATTCTAGGGGGCCACATGCGAACCCTACCCCTACCCCCTACGATTTCTGCGGGGGAGGGCGGGGTTCATTTCGTTCGGGAGCTCCCGAGCGAAGTGAACCCCACCCTCCCCCTCAGAAATCATGGGGGGTAGGGGTAGGGTTCGCATGTGCCCCCCGTAAATTCTGGGTCGCGGGCGGCGCTCAACGCTGAACGCCGGCGGCGGGGTCGTCGCCTGTCGACACGGCGCGACCCCGCCGTAAGCGGCCCCAAGCGGTTTCAGAAGCCAGCGCGCAGGTCGTCCCCGTACGGGCCCGCCGCATCCTTTCTGAGTCAAGCGTCTGTAGAGGGTGTGTTGGCCCAAGACGGGGTCAGGGAACCAATCCGCCTGGATGCCGAGAGTGTCCTTCATCCGGGGGCCGTTTCGAGCGCGCTTCCTTTAAACCCTTTGGTTCCATGTCGATCCGATCGATACGCTTCGGTACCGATTTCGGCAGATTTGACCTGATTCGATTATCTGATGTGGTCCGATGTTTGCGTAACACTGTTGTGAATCCGTGCGCAGCCATCCGATTCGATTTCGCCTCAGTGCCGATGCGGTCTGATCCGACGCACTCTCTGACGTGATCCAACATCCCAATTTGATGCTGATGATACCTCCTCTGGCCTCACCCCACGTTCCCGCAGTCGAAGACCGTCCTACTTCGGCCGCATTCCGTGGAATCCAGCTGAACCCCGCTCAGCTTGGCGTAATCTTGGGCTCACTCTGGCCTGTTCTGGTTCAGTGGCTCCTCGGCTGGGCCGAGCCGCACCGTTCCCACGCAGACCCGTCGGGGTTCGCCTGGCGTGTCTCGGAACTCCCGAGGCGAGGTCCGCCGAGCGTGGCTTCGGTGCCAGAGCTCGGGCCTCCAGCGGCCGCTCGGGACGATGCGACCCCTCCCGAGGCGCCCTCGGCGAGGCGCAGCGGTGTCAGAGCACCCCGAGGCGGTACACGGCGGCGTCCGCCAGGCATGCTCGTGCCATGCGCGCGTCGGCCCCTTGGAAGGGGGGGCGACGTGCGCTCGGGCATCCTGCAGTTCAGTGCTCGTGCCGGTGTGCGATTTCCGGCCACACCGCTGCGGAAACGACGCACGGCTTGATTTCTGCTGCATGGTCGTGTCGGACACGCGCCCCAGACGTGACCACAGATGACCAGTACGCAGTAGGACATCGGAGTGCTGTGTGCTTATGTTTGGGGCGCGGGGCCGACACCAAGATCTCGCACACCATCTTACATCATATCGTTTCCAAAGCGGTATGGCTAGAAAACGCCCACCACCGAACATAGGCTGCAAGCTTTCTGAGCGTGCGTCGCCACTGGGGGTGCCGACACACACATAGTACAGGTCCCTTTTCCTTGTCCAGGTTTTCCTCTACTGTGCTTCTTCGTGCTGTCTCACGCATCCTCAGCGGCACGCATCGAGAGGCAACCACATGGATGTCGCGCAAATTACCCTGTGACGTACCCAACCCATTTGTATCATGGGAAACGAAGAGTTGGCCGAAACTTGCACGGACAATCAAATTGCAGGATCCGTTGTTTGATATGTAAGCTACTTGGGACACGCGCCAATGGAATGATGCGTAGGAGAACCATACAAGAACGAGGGGCGACAACTACAGGCTCGAAGAGGACATGGGGAGTCGGGAACGAAGAGCAGGAGAACGACGTGCGGGAAACCCACTGTGCTGGGCCCCTCAGCAGGCCTCGAAAGTGGCGACAGTTTCACAGATCGCAGCCCCCCCGGGATGGCGAGGTCCGATTTGAGTCCGCGGAGGGTACCCACTGTGCTGGGCCCCTCAGCAGGCCTCGAAAGTGGCGACAGTTTCACAGATCGCAGGCCACCAGGGATGGCGAGGTCCCATTTGAATCCGCGGTGGGTACCCACTGTGCTGGGCCTTTCAGCAGCCCTCGAAAGTGGCGACAGTTTCACAGATCGCAGCCCCCCAGGGATGGCGAGGTCCCATTTGAATCCGCCGCGGGTGCCCACTGTGCTGGGCCCCCCAGCAACCTCGAAAATGGCGACAGTTTCACAGATCGCAGCCCCCCAGGGATGGCGAGGTCCCATTTGAATCCGCGGTGGGTGCCCACTGTGCTGGGCCCCCCAGCAGGCCTCGAAAGCGGCGACAGTTTCACAGATCGCAGCCCCCAGCCGCGGTGGGTACCCACTGTGCTGGGCCCCTCAGCAGGCCTCGAAAGTGGCGACAGTTTCACAGATCGCAGCCCCCCAGGGATGGCGAGGTCCCATTTGAATCCGCGGTGGGTACCCACTGTGCTGGGCCTTTCAGCAGCCCTCGAAAGTTGCGACAGTTTCACAGATCGCAGCCCCCCAGGGATGGCGAGGTCCCATTTGAATCCGCGGTGGGTACCCACTGTGCTGGGCCCCCCAGCAGCCCTCGAAAGTTGCGACAGTTTCACAGATCGCAGCCCCCCAGGGATGGCAAGGTCCCATTTGAATCCGCCGCGGGTGCCCACCGTGCTGGGCCCTCCAGCGGCCCTCGAAAGTGGCGACAGTTTCACAGATCGCAGCCCCCAGCAGCCCTCGAAACGCAGCGACGAGCCAGGTAAAAGGCAGGGGGGAAGAGAGGGGCGGGATTCGCGCGAGCAGTGCTCTATTCAAAACGAGAACCCAACGCAGGAGGGTTGGGAAAAGTACGACGAGTGCCTCCGACAAAGTACATTGCATTTAGAGTGCAACTCCTGGGAGGTTAACTTCAGGATCGGCGCTGGTGTATCCACGGTCGAAGATGGGCCAATCCGGCAGAATCACATATAATCGTGTTTGGTTCCGCCTAATCCCGCTCAGTCTGGCTCAATCGGGCTTAAACCCGGGCTCGGCCCGGCCTTATCTGGCTGAATTGCTCAATGGCACCCTGATCCTGCCGAATAGCTTTCAATCGTTCTCACGAAGTTCTCCCAGGATCTGCTTCGTAATCGTACCAGCATGTCCCTCGGCGTCCCATCCGAGGCCTGCTGCAGGAGGTAGGTTCCTTATCCACTAGCGAGAGTGGGCGTGACCGTGGGTGGGAGGGGGGATAGAGCCAGTCACCTCACGATTCGCGCCGGCGCCGTCTGGGAATGCTTAAGAGTGGCCAACTCCCAAGACGGCGCTGGCGCGCGAATCGTGACGTGACCAGGGGAGGAGGAAGAGGAGGAGGAGGAGGAGGAGGAGGAGGAGGAGGAGGAGGAGGAGGAGGAGGAGGAGGAGGAGGAGGAGGAGGAGGAGGAGAGGGAGGAGGAGGAGGGAGGAGGAGGAGGAGGAGAGGCGGATGCGGAGGCGGAGGCGGAGGAGAGGAGGAGAGGAGGAGGAGGAGAAGAGGAGGAGGAGGAGGAGGCAGGAGAGAGGAGAGGAGGGGAAGGAGAGGAGGAGGAGGAGGAGGGCGGAGGAGGAGGAGGGGCGGAGGGAGTGGAGGAGGAGTGAGGTAGGAGAGGAGGAGGAGGAGGAGGAGGGGGGGCGGGGCTGGTCACTGGCGTGATCGTGAATCTGAAAACGGTCTCGGCCCCCAGAGGTCTCGGCCGACTCCCTGGGACCGGCTTTTCATCCTGGGCCGTCTTTGGACGGTCTCGAGGCCCAGCAAGGGCCCCCAGAGGCTGAAAATGGAGAAACATCCTCCGAAGCGCTTCTTTCAGGACTCCATCCGAGAACCTCCGAAACCCCTCGGCCTCGCGAACCCCCTGGGCCGCGCGAAGCCCCTCGGCCGCGCGAACCCCCTCGGCGCCCCAGCCGCGCGAGCCTGCGGCAGCCCGCGCCGAGGTCGCCCGAGCCCAGCGGCCCGACGTCCCCGGGCGCGGCTCCGCGGCCGACGTAGTTGGCGAGGACATCGAGCTGGGCAGCGGGGCGGTGCCGCAGGGCCTCGAGCGGGCGCCAGCGCCCGAGGTGGCCCTTCTCGGGCACGTGCGGCACTGCTCGTTCCAGACCAGCGACAGGTGCCCGGTGTCCCAGATGGCCCGACGTCCCCGGGCGCGGCTCCGCGGCCGACGTAGTTGGCGAGGACATCGAGCTGGGCAGCGGGGCGGTGCCGCAGGGCCTCGAGCGGGCGCCAGCGCCCGAGGTGGCCCTTCTCGGGCACGTGCGGCACTGCTCGTTCCAGACCAGCGACAGGTGCCCGGTGTCCCAGATGTTCTTCAACTCGGACCTCGGGAGGGGGGGGAGGAGGGGAGGGGTGGAGCGAAGTGGGGCGAGGAGGGGGAGGAGGAGGGGGAGGGTCGAGGAGGAGGAGGAGGAGGAGGAGGAGGGGAGGAGGAGGAGGAGAGGGAGGAGGAGGGAGGAGGATTGGAGGAGGAGGAGGAGGAGGAGGAGGAGGAGGAGGAGGTGGAGGAGGAGAGGAGGAGGAGGAGGAGGAGGAGGATGGAGGTGGAGGAGGAGGAGGAGGAGGAGGAGGAGGCGGAGGAGGAGGTGGAGGTGGAGGAGGAGGGAGGAGAGGAGGAGGAGGAGGTGGAGGTGTGGTGGAGGTAGGAGAGGAGGAGGAGGAGGAGGAGGAGGAGGAGGAGGAGGAGGAGGAAGAGGAGGAGGAGGAGGAGGAGGAGGGGTAGGGCGAGGCGAGGGAGGAGGACAAGATATGGTAACACACGCCTGCAGCGCAATCCAACCAAGGGCCACGAGAGCAGGCTTCAGCAGGAGGGGCATCGAAGAAGAAAGAACGGCAGAAACATACACTATCGACGGTCCGCGCGGGTTTCTTGGATCTGCGCAGGTTCCTCCCTGGCGGCGCCTCCGGCGCCGCCTCTGACGCGCTCCGCGCGCCGGGGAGGCGGGCCCAGCGCAGATCCGAGACATCCGCGTGGACCTCCGGAAGTCTAATTCTGTTCATGCAGTTTCCTGTTGCTCCAAGGGAGGTGGGAAGAGGAGGAGAGAGGAGGATAAGTAGCCCTGGCACATTTACTTTTTTTGCGGGGGGGTCACGCACACGTGCAGCATCACCCACTCACGAGGACGCCGACTACATGAGTTCCCCCTCCGTCCTCCTCCATATCTTACGCACTGTTCTGTAGTGTCGCAGCGCACATGCATATCCCCCCCGAACACACACGCCACAGTCGCTGTATAAAGTACATCTACATACACACATGCACATGAATTTGTTGTGTACGCTTGCACATGGGTGTATATGGGCGTCGTGTAGTTGCATGTCTCCAGTCGCTTCTATACATGCATGTCGTGATGTATGAGAGAGCGTGATGCACCGCCGCTTTACTGTGGAAAATTGTTGACGCTTCGCGTATCCCCACCAGCCCATCGAGAAACGATGCTCAGGGGAGTTGAGGTGATCAGGGAAGTCGGGGAGCATGCAGAATAACAAAGGGCGGGGGAAGCTGTCACAGACCCCGAGAGGGGGAGGATGGAAGAGGAGTCGTCGTCGTCGTCGTCGTCGTCGTCGGAGGAGGAGGAGGGGGAAGAGGAGGAGGAGGAGGAGGAGGAGGAGGACGGAGAAGGAGGAAGAATAGGAGGAGGAGGAGGAGGAGGGGAAGGAGCTTCTTTGGGGTCTTTTGAGGGCCTCTTGGAGGGCTTTTTGGGCGCCTTGGGGCATCTTGGGCGCCTCTTGGGACCCTCTTGAGGCGCTCTGGGGAGCCTTCGGGGCGCTTTTGGGGCCATCTTGGAGGGAGTCGATCAAACAAGAGGGGGGGTTTAATTAGCGCCCCCCCTCGGAAGCCCCTAAAATCGCCTCTTGGACACCTCTTGGAACGCTCTTGGAGTGCTCTTGGAACGCTCTTGGAGTGCTCTTGGGCGCTCTTGGGGCCGTCTTGGGGCTCTTTTGGGGCTCTCTAGGGGCCCTCTTGGGCCATCTTGGAGCCATCTCCAGGCCTCGGATAGCCATCGGAAGCGAAAAGGCGAGAAAGCCAAAATCATTGATTTTCCTTAGGTTTTGGGACGATTTTGGCCTCTTCGGGGCCTCCTTGGGGAGCTGTTTGGCCACTTGGAGTTATCTTGGGGCCGTCTTTGGGCTTCTTGGAACCATCTTAGGAGCCATCTCGAGCGATCTTGCGCTTTCTTGAGCCATCTTGGAGCTCATCTTGGGTTCTCTGTGGCGCTCTTGGAGCCGTCTTGGGCCATCTGGGACGCTCTAACTACCCGCGGCCCCCCCCGTCCAGGTCCAGGGGAGGGGGTAGGGGGAGGGGTAACCCCTCCCCAAGGGGGAAGAGGGAGGGGTGGAAGAGGATCTGCTCTAGACCACCTACGCCCAGAGGGCTGGTGGGA